TTTTACTTAGTACAAAGGTAAGATAGTGTGTGCATAAATGAGACACGTGTATACTGAAGAGGGGGGTTTTTTTTTCCTTTTCTTTTTTGTCTTGAGCCAAAGTGACATCTTAAGAAGCTAAGAGCTCGTGCCTTCGGATCAACGTCGCACACGTACCCTAAAGAGTATACACGTATATATATGTATATATATATATATATATATACATACGTCCATAATAGTGAAGAGTCCAGTCTTTTCAAGAGAAGAAAAGAAGGAACACTGGGAGTACTGTTTTAGGACATATGACACGATGTGACTTACTTTTTTTTTTTCTTTAAAATCGACGCAGCTTTTTTACTTTCATATATATACGACACAATTTAATTCTCACAATCCTTATATAGTTGTTCACAAAAGAAAATTTTTGCATTTATTCTTTCGCGCTTTTACGAAGCGTGAATTTTACCCCTTTCTCTCTTTCTCTTTTTTTTTTTAAAACAGACAGAAAACAATTTTTTATGTACATTTTTTGTAGTGACGGAAAATTTTATTGAAAATTCGCTACTTTTTTTTTAGATATTATTTTCAAAATCTGGATTTAATTTTTCTACTAAAATAAGGAAAAACGTTTTTTCATCGAGTTGACTTTTTTCTAGCTTTGGAAAATTACTTTAACTAATAACAAATAAATTAAAAAAAAAATTTGCCTGTTTTGTATAAAAAGAAAATTATTTTTAATTCTTTCAATTATTTCATACGTATACGTATATGAGTTTTTTTTTTATCATAGACAAAAAGTGATCTTTGATTTTCTCTCCCTAAAAAATATATATATATATATATATATATATATATATGATGCATGGCGATTTGAAAAGCCGATTTCAATATCCATTTCTTTCTATTATACTTTTTCTCGTTCGTCACGAGCAACTCGTTCTGGCAGTGAATCATGAAATATCCGGTTGGGCTATTGTTACTTGTCACTCGAAATGAGATATGACTTTTCGTTGGGGGTCCCATACAAGTAATTCCCATGTAATAGTATATTGAATGCAAAAACGAGACACGGATTATATAAATGATTTACGTTTATATGTATCGAAACAAAAAAAGAACTGTCGATGAACCATTCAAATATAAAAACAATAAATTAAAAAAATAGAAAAAAAATTTTTTTTTCATTGCCCAATTTTTACTATAATGATTGATTATTATATTTTATTTAATCAAATTATAAAAAAAAACCCCGATTATTCTTATTCAAATATTTTTTTAATTACAAAAATCATTAAAAATTAACTGACAATTAAAATTGAGATCCAATTAAAAATGAATTTTTCACTCTTTGAAATAAAAAAAAAATGTATATTTAATTAAATTAAAATTCTAAAAAATTATTTGTTACATTTAACGAGAATTTCGTAATTCCTCAATATTAAATCTAATCGGGTATTATTAAATTCCACAATTAAATTAATTAAAAGATTTTAATTATTTTGAATATGTGATTACGAGTTATTAAATTTTAATTAACACATATATCAGCCCTTCAAATCATTTCCAATAAAATTTCCCTATCTTTGAATATATACATGTAAAGATTTGTTTAATTAAAAAAAAAAAAAAAAACGCAGGTAAAAAATTCTATACAATTTTAATAAACCTTTTAAAATGTACTCTGACGTTTAATTAATAGGCATGTCAGTTGCAAAAACCCTTTTTTCCCTATATTTATCGAATTTTTCTCGAATAATTTGATATACACAAGAAAAAAAAAAAAGAGAGAGAGAGAGAGAGAGAGAGAGAGAGAGAGAGAGAGAGAGAGAGAGAGAGAGAGAGAGAGAGAGAGAGAGAGAGAGAGAGAGAGAGAGAGAATAATATAATTTTTGATTGTACAAATTTCAATTTAACTTGAAAGACCATTTCTCTATATGTTCACTTTTGTTCCGATATTCATTGCAAAAAAAAGACATTAATTCAAATCTAAAATTCGTGGAAAGGAGAAAATTTGCAAAAAAAGAAAATACTAAAATTTTCCCTTACTATATATGACAATTGTATGAAATTTTCTTGCTCAGCATTTTCTCGGTTATATGTTCAATTATAATTCCAATTTCAACAATTTCATGGTTAAACACAGTTTAGGCATCTAGAGGAAATTTTCACAATCTCTCTCTCTCTCTCTCTCTCAACCCCCCTGTTTGCGCTTTATTCTCCATTTTACGTTGTTTCAGTGAATCTACATCGTTTCAAAAACACCAAAAATGAAATTGAATTTGCGAAATGGACTAACCAACCAACGACGTGTAACACGCCCGGGAATCGCTTTTCCTGTATAACGTTTCACTATACATGATTGAAATTTTATTTAACCATCGCAAAAAAGAAGCAAAAAGTCAACAAAAGATGACCAGTGTATTCTCAAACAAATGAAAAAAAAACGAGAAATTAAATTTAAATGCCACTCAACAAAATTAAGCAAAATGAAAATATTTTTCCTAAATTTTATCAATTTTTAATTAAATTAACCAGTATTTTATTATTTTTAGAATTTTTATTCTTTTTTTTTAATTAAATTAAAAAAAATTTGTTTGACTCAAATAAATTAATTGTCTATTGACAAATTTTATTTGTATCAAATAAATATTTCCATAAAACTTGAATAAAAATTCAATATTCAATTCAAAAATTTAATTATCGAATTATAATAAAATTAATTACTATTTATTTATAATAATAATTATAAAAAAAAATTTTTAATTAATTTTCTGTTTGAGGGTAAGAAAATGAAAAAAAAACGATTTTTTTCCCCCTTAAGTGGATGTGATTAATTAAATTTTTGCTATAATGAACCCATTGATATCTCTAATTAGCCATTTTGGCTTTCTCGTTAATTTTCTAGATAATATACACGAGTGCACGCAGATAGTTGCCTATATATATTTTAGGATGTTATATATATATATATATATATATATATATAGGGATGGAGGAAGCTTATTTCTTGAGGCTCTATTTATAAGGGTTGAAAGGGGGAAAGGGGTTGTGTCTAGTAGAGTTGCACGAAACTCACGTTTACCACAATCTCGTTATCTACAGACGAATAGATTTCCAGCCTAGTCAACCACACATTGTTAGGGGGTGCTGTTTTGACTCCTATATCCACGCATTACGTCACTGATGGGAAGAACAACTTGTATACCACTTATATGCACTTTATACACGCAAAAGCGCCAGCCTTGCGTTTCCGGAAATAATTAGCGAAACTATTATAAACTAAAGTCCGAAGCTGATTATTATTATTGTTGATCTTTAATTAATTTTCTAATCGTACTTTCTTTTTTTCTTTACAATATTTTTATACAATTTTTTTTTCTCATTCAATTTACTGTAAAATAAAAAATAGTTTAAAATAACAAACGGTTATTATTAAATAAAATATTTATTTGCAGCTAATAATTTTTATTTGAATCAAACGCTCGAAATTTTTGTATTTAAAATAAATTACTATACCCAACCAAAAATTTCAGTATTATACCAGAGTTGACTACTGGCGCAGTACTGGTTCAGTATTGGCAGCCGAGTATTGTTGCAGTACCACCCTCCCAGTGCCGATATTGAGCCAGTACTGACTAAAATAGATTTTCTTTTTGATTAATATACTAGTTTACCAAAGGTTTTAGAGTGAACCTGATGAATCTTTTTGTTTAAATATTTTGTTTATAAAATTTTTACACCTTGATTTTATTTTTTAAAATTAAAATATATTTTATTTTGCTTTTTTGTAGGTAAAATTATTTAAATAAAAAGTTTCCTGAGACCAATTTCAAAATATTTTGCAACATTTTTTTTTTGTTTTCAAATATGCAATAAACCAAAAAAAAAAAAAATTTAACGATAATTACATAGCTAATTGTATAATTATATACATTATAATTATTTTATAAACATTTTTATTTTTACTGATCTGTTTTTATATATTATAAAAATTTTGGTTTTAAAATAAACATATTTTTATATTTATTTTTTGATTTTTTAAAATAATAATTTGCAATATATATTATAATAAAGATTAAAAATTCTTGGTGTTTTCGATTTTATATAATAAAATATTAATTAGTTACACTGAAAAAAAAATTCTGGTTAGGGTATATTTAACATTACTTTCTAGTTATGTTAACCAGAATTCTAGTTGAATTAACTAGAATTCTCGTTAAAATAAGCAGAATTCTGGTTAATCTAACCAGAATCAAAATGTTAAATATACCCTAACCAGAATTCTGGTTATTCTAACTAGAATTCTGGTTATTCTAACTAGAATTTTTTTTTCAGTGTAGTTGACTAATTTAATTAATATTTAATTTGTGTTGGGTTACTAAAAATTTCAGACACTTTTTCCTATGTACACCAAAAAAGTATTACCTGGAGTGAAACTTATCTCTGTGACAGTTAAAGCTATATTTTCGTACACAATAAATTACAAAACTGCTAGTACTCCGCCGGTACTGAATCAGTAGTGGTTACCAGTACTGGTACCAACTCTGGCAGCCAATACTGGGTGCCAGTACTGCGCCAGTACTGCGCCATTAGTAAATTTTTGATTGGGTAGTTGATTCAAATAGTAATTATTCTATGTAAATAAATATTTAAATAACCAATTGATTCAATTTTTTTTCAAGGTAATTATTGTTGAAAAATACCAATTATTGAAATTTATAAATTAATTAATTTAATTTAAAAAATATTTCGCTAAATAATTGTTAATTTGAAAATATTATATTTATAATATTTAATAATTATTTTCAGAAAATAAACGCTTATATGGGAATTAAATTCCTAAACGCTTTTTATATGTACATATATATATATATGTGTGTACATAAAAACATTACGCTCGACACTGAACGTGTATAATTCGTTCTAATCAGATTCAAGTTCTCGAGCGGTAAGTGCATTCTTGTAATTATAGTTTTAATTAAATTTTGTGCGGATAAATAAAGTCAAAAAGCACTCACCTCGACTACATAGTGGAGTCCGGATAATGTCATCCTAGCAACAGAGTCCTTTCTTTGAAGCGGTTGCTGCCATCTTCTTAATGTCACAGACTGAAAAGAAAGAGAAATTGTGATTAAGATATCCTTTGCTTCTAATAAAAAAAAAAAAAAAATTCTCCTGCTATCATTCTTTTAATATAAAAAAAAATTCTCTTGCAATCCTTTTTCTAATATTAAAAAAGATTTTCTTTTCCACATATTTCCGCATCTCTTTTTTAAATGTAAAAATTTTCTCCAATAAAACGAATTTATTTATTTATTTATTTATTAATTTGCCCTATAAACAAAAATTTATAAATGTTGAAAATATTAAATTTTTAATGGAAAAAAAGCATTTTTTTTTTTACTAATCAAATTAATGGGGGTAAAATTTTTCTCTTGTCAGTTACAAGTGAAAGAGATGAGAGAATAGTTTTTGATTTTTTTTTTTCGTTGCTCCCACGAGTTCAATAACGCAATAATGCATTTGATTGGGTGGTGGATAAACGAGTCGTGAACAAATTGTGATGCTATCGAAATGAGTTTGTTTTCTGAAATCGCGGAAACAAGGACGAGAGAGAGAGAAAAAAAAATAAAACGTTATTTCTAACTGGCTGCGTATTTGATTGAATATACTTGCACATCTAGGTCAAGAAAAAGGGTGGTTTTTTCAAAAGTGACCTGCTCTAAAGAGAAAAACTTCATGATATTTTGTAACGAGAATTTTCATTTAGAAAAATAAAATTATTTCCAAAATTTCAAATTTAAATTGTTCATTATATTGTTTAATTTTAATTTTTTTTATAATACAAAAGTTATCGTCATTTATAGTAAAAAATTTGTTGGAAGATTTAAAAAATTTCAAAATTATATAAATTTTTTTGGAAATCCAAATGTAATTAAAAATTTGTAAATATAGAAAAAGTAAAAGTTATCGTTATTTGTTGTAAAATTTTTTTTTTAAATTTTCAAAAATTTCAAAGACCTTTTTTCAAAAATATTTTTTATCATTTTTTTTTTTTTTTTTTTTTTTGAAAATCCAAATGTAATCAAAAATTTGTAAATATAGGAAAAGTTCAATTTCATTTCAACGCTTCTGTAAATATTTGAATTTCAATTTTGTGATTGAAATCTAAACTCTATTTGAAACTGGCAAATGAGATACAAACTCTCGAAATTGAATTAACTATTACTAGATTGAGAAGCTTCATATTTCGAACATATAACCAAAGTAAGTTTATAATACGTTTATAATAATACATGTTCTTTCATTATAATAATATTTATTTATCATTATAGGGTAAAAGCACCAATTACCATGAGTACCCAAATTATAGAGATTTATTTTCTTTGCGAGATAATTTATAAAAATAGGCAAAAAATTAAAAAATCTATTTTTATTCTTACACTCAGAAAACAATTTATTTGAAACAATCAAATTTTTGTTAAATCATCAAAAATAAATGTATAATAACCAAACTTTTAATTGAATCAATAAAATATTTATTTCGCACAAATTCTTTCTTGGTTCGAAAAAATTTCTAAATAAACCAAACATTTACTTAGATCAAATAAATATTTATTTGAATTAAATAAATTCTGTTGATTTTAATTATATTAAACGTGCAATAAAATTACAACACTGGCTTGTTAATTCAAAAAATTAGTGCCACCTGTAAATTATTAGTAATCTCTTCTATTATTTATTTATTTTTTTTTTTCCTCAACAAAAGCACTATGCATTATCCATATTAATGGAGATGTGCAATATAACGTTAAAGGCAAAACGGAATTGAGAGAAATTCCCGACAGGGTTGGAAGGCAATTTGCAGAGTTTTGGCGAAATTTGTGCGATAGTTGTGAGTCACGTATGAAGCCGCATAAAAGCCAAACTATAATTCAGTGATGACTGTTGAACATAGATGAATACTGTTGAAGCAGCTTGTTGTATCAATTCTCAAGTATTGCAACTTCCAGTCAGGGATTATATATGTTAGTTAATTCAAAAGTTGTAATGAGTTGTCTAAACTCCCATAGAGAAGTACAATATTTTAGTGTGATAGAGACATGATATTCCTCCTTTTCATTTAATTACACATAAAGTGAATTTAATGGGAACAATTTTAAACGGTTTTCCATAAAAAAAAAACATTTTTCACGACAGTAAGACGAAATTAAAAAAAATATATTTTCATATTTTCTTTAGTAGTGTATTCTTATTGAAAATTTTTTTCCAAAATCAAAATACAAAAAAAAAATCATTTTTCTTCATAGAAAAGTTTTACAAAAATTCTACTGATTTTTTTGCAATTAAAATAATAAAAAATTGTTTTAGTAAAAAAAAATTCCTAGTTTATAAATTTAGTGCTATTTTTTTATGTATTTTCTTTTTTAGATCGGGAAACTTACCTCAGGTAATTCCATGGTGTCCGGTACATCTCTCGTGATGTCCGGATCTGGCGGTTTGTGTTCCGGAAGAAGGGGTCCATACCGTCTGCATGCCATCCGGCGTCTTCGCTCCAACCATCTTTGCCTTTCAGAATTTTCAGATTCCTCATCGATTCCAAAGAAAATTGCGGTTTCCCGTTTAATGTAACTGGAAAAAAAAGGAATCATTTTTTTTTTTTGTAAATTTACGTAAAGAAATTTAAATTATAACAACGAGAGAAAAAACTATATTTCTAATAATTTGAGAATGATTTTTTTTCGATACTATAATGAAGGAAATTATTTAAAATTTCATGTATTATATAATACTTTAAAAATAAAAAAACCATTTACTTTACCAAGCGTATATACTATATACATAAATTATGAATTAATGTTGAAATTACAATTTAATATTCTCGAAACAGGAACATTGTTATTTTCATATTTTCATTTTATGCATGTTGAAAAGTTCTCGTTAAAACACTGCTTTTAAAAAAATGTTTAATTAACATTTTTCATGTGGTTTTAAATAGCAGGGAAAAATTCATGTATTTTTATCACTTCTTTTTTTTTTTTGTTGCTTTTATTAAAAAAAAAACAAAATGTAAAAATTTGAAATATGTAAAATAGCAAAAATTGTTTTAAATATATTCAAAATTGACGCGGCGTTTTTTTTACAATGTATTATTATTTAAAAAAAAAATTTTAGAAACTTGTTTCACTCAATCGAAAAGTGAATAAGCAATTTAAAATTATTATTTTATTAGAATTTTTTTAACAATAATTTAAATGGAAAAAAAATTGAACCGCTGGCGACCAAAAGGGTTTATGGAATAGCTGGAAACTCGTTGAACGCAGGGCCAACGAAAGTTACGCGTAAGCCCTTATGGTCGACGGCGGTTCAATTAATTTATTAAACATTCAACTTAAATTTAAAATTAAATTTGAACACTTAAAATAGGATAAGAAAAATAATAGAAATTTCATGATTTGTAATTATATGACGAGCGAATGTCAGATTGTGACAAGTAACGTAGCGCCATCTGTTGGATATCATTTGTCGGTCGGTAATTCAGAAATCTAGCTTGAAATTTTATTATAAAATTCGAAAAAAAAATGATAGCGCCATCAAGATTAAACATTAAATAAGGGAATAAGAGAAAAATTTTGAAAATACAACAAATAAATTTTGAGAAATTGAAAATAAATTGAAAATCAACATACTTTCGAATGACGTCAGTTCGGCTTGGATTCCTCCTCAACCTAGACCTTTGTCCCATGGTAGCTGAATTAGTTGAGGTTACTGGTGGCAATGGTCGTTGACCCGTTGGAGCTGACATACTCCTGGTAATGTTAGGTGTTGTACCGGTTGAAGTGACTGTTCCGGAAGAGCTGATTGTATTTTGAGGAAGGGATGGGGAACTATCGACAGGTGTTACCGTCGACGTTTCCGTTGATGCACCTTCAACGGCGTACATACCAATGTTCTGTTCGTTTTCACCATCAGGCCCACTTGAGGAGATGGTTGAAGTACCAGTTGTACCCGAACTAGGTGAGGGTTGCCTGAGAACACAAACAATCAAAATTTCCATTATTTCCCCCAATTCAAAATGACCAAAAAACCGAAATAAATTTATGCAAAATATCATATTTCGAAAAAATTTTCTAAATATTAAATAAATACTAAAAAAAAAGAAAAGAAGTCAAGGGAAAAAATAAATATATTTTTTGACAATTGTTGAAATGAAGAAAGGAAATATATAATCTCGTATGGGATAAGAATCATTTTTCGAAAAAAAAGCTTTATACGTCATGTTTCCTCGCTATATAGAAAATAAGAGAACGGATGCGATTTAGACTTGAAATAAGATGAAAAGTGTGTGTGTATATATATATAGACGAGGGAAGGATCTCTCGATGCCAAATGAAAGAGACTCGACTGTATTCACGGCAGTAAAACTCTAATATCCGCGTCTGACGGGTTAAAGGCGGAAAAGCAACGACGAGAGGGAGAAAATTGTTGTTTTGTTGGCAAACTTTAAATCCAAAGGTTATTGACCATTGTTATATAAACTCATCCACCTCAGTCGGAAGCTTTATGGCCATCTGGCTCATTTACTTGTTTAACTCAACAGACTATAATCTTGAATTCATGGTATTACTGCCGCCGCGTCCTGTTGTGGAAAATGGGACCCGTCAAAAACTAAACTTTTTTTCACGAAAAAGAAATAAAATAAAATTATACTATTCTTATAATAGTGTCGATTTTTTTTTGTATTTAAATATTTTTTGGCCATTTTATCTATAAATAAAATAATGTATGGGTTTTAAAAAAAAGAAAAATACCGTAAAATTTTATGAAAGAAACTGAAATAATAATTCCATTGTTTCTCATTTTGCGCCCGCGATTTAATTGACAAGATTATATTTCCTCTTTTTATTACGCTATTTCTGTTTTTTTTTTTTTTTAAATAACTGAAATAGAAATAATTTTTTTCACCCCCAGAATAAAATAATATTTGTCTCTCTATTTTTTTAAGAAACTATTTTTAGATTCTATTTTTGATGAATCATATTTGATAGACAGATTGCATTTCACTAATATTGTGGAAAAAGTCTGTCGGGGGTTTTTCCTTTTTTTTTTTTTTGTAATAAAAGATGAGATTTTCAGTATATCTCAAAACGACTTTAGAGGTTTGCTGAGTAGTAAAACTCTCGTTCGGTCAGACGCTGATTCTTGTTCTCTTTTCCGTACACCGAGCGACGTATAAGAACCTTCCTCAACTTCTTCCTTTTTTTTTATCTTTCTCCTTCTTCTTGCTTTTTCAAAGATTAAAAACATCTTGGCGGAAAAAATTTCCGTACAAAGCTATTTTAAAAATTGTAAAAATCACTGTTTCACAAAATGTAGTCGCTTACAAATTGCATTTATTATAACTAAGAAGAAAAATTATATTTATTTTAATTCTCTACAAGAAGTGTTATTTTAGGTGTTAAAATAACATTTAACATATTTTTTTGTATGTAATCACTTTTTAAAAATTTTAATTTTAAATTTCCAAATAGAGATCAACTTATACACAATATTTAACGTAAAACAACCAAAAAGTTACTTTGAGTTTATTGACTCTGAAAGTTGAAACCACACACATAGATATATATACACAAAAGAATGGATAAATTTGACCTGAGAAAGCTGTTCCCAAAACTGTCCTAAAATTTTATTCGTTAGTATGCAAACGATAAAATTTGAATTGCAAATTGTTAAAACTATCTCTATGTATATATATAAAGAGAGAGAGAAACAAGTAGAAATCTACAGAAACGAAATAATTGGAGGAAACAATTGATAACCTGGGTTTAAAAAAAAGAATAAAAAAAAAATTCAACTCAAATTCCACAGACTTTACAGGATAAAAAAAAAGAGTAAATAGAGAAATTCTCGTGTAAAAAAAAGAATTAAAATAGAAAATCTAAATATTGATTTTAACAGTTTGAAATGAAAAACAAATGTTAAGATACAACAAAAAAAAACTCCAAAAATGAATAAATTTTTCAGAACAAAAATTAATAAAATTATATTAAAAATTGCACCTAGAGAAATGATATATTTGTCCTACAGCCTAATAAATATTTATTTGATTCAAATAAATTTTTATTTAATTTAAATCAAATTTTTATTTGAAAAATATTTTTATTTAAATAAAAAATTTTATTTACGCCAAATAAATAGACTGTGAGACAAATATACGTTTATTTAAAACCAAATATATATTATATTTGGTTTAAATAAAACATTTGATTATATTAATAATTGTAGAAAACCACAAAAAAATTTTTAATAACAATATCAGTTGACTGCTCGTGTATTCATTTTATGAATGATGGCAAACCGAAACTCATAAGCCGTTTGTAATAATGCCTTAATAGTTGGACAACGGAAGGTACTTTATGCTATTGTGTTAAGTTGAATTTCATGTTGGTGAGTGTTCACTTCAAACACATTGATAGAGACGGTTTCTGTGATTGCCGAGGGCGGCTTGCAAATTGTCTAATTGCAACTCACGTAACGTTGCCCAGGCGTATAATGGGTGCACGAGTTTCGAGACAAGGAATTCAATGTTGTCTTAATTTACAATGCCCATACACTGTATATAGAGGCCATGAAAAGCTATCATTATTACATAGGTGTGTAGAATTATTATTCTTTAATAAACTCACATTAAGTTACACGTTAAATTTAAAATTAGTTGAAATTTAATAGAAAAACATTGAAATTTCACTGAAAAATTCAGTAGAATCTATCTAACCGACACAGATTTCTATTTTATCAACAATCGGTAAAATAGAAATCTGTTTTTACAGATTGTTGTCAATAAAGATTTCTATTTTATCAACAATCGGTAAAATAGAAATCCGTTTTTACCGATTGTTGACAATAAAGATTTCTATTTTATCAACAGTCGGTAAAATAGAAATCTGTTTTTACCGATTGTTGGCAATAAAGATTTCTATTTTATCAACAATCGGTAAAATAGAAATCTGTTTTTACCGATTGTTGATTTTTTTAGTATTCAGTGATAATTGAATTTCAGTATTTTAAAAAAATATTAATTTCTGCCATAAATAATGTGCAAAAAAAAAAAAAATGACAAAATAAAAGATGACAAGGGTACCTTAATATGGTGAGATATGACTTTTATTATTATTTTTAATGGATATGCATTATATTTTGTGAATTTTGTTCGGATTGTGTCGGGTTCTTTTTTTTTCCTCTCTTTTTCATTCTAGTGAATAATTATACGAATGGGAAAAAATGAATATAAATTTAAGGCTTATCCCGATGGATATATTTGTTGACGATGAATACACAGTGGGGCTATCTATCAAATGTAGTCAGGGTTGACTCGTTTTTCATAATCTGTCGCGACTATCCCTTTTTGCTGTCCCATATTTAACGCTATATTTTTTTTTGTTCGTTTATACACAAATTCACATAAATAGTTACGAAGGTCGTTATCTTCGATCCAAATGGTGTAAAGCCTCTCTGTATTACATGATACATTTTATTTTTTTTTTTTGTATATTTCATCTGCGTCCCTTTTATTCACTTCTTTTTTTATTGTTAACAATTTTTTTGAAAATGAATTTTTATCGCATAAAAAAAGTGTGCGAAAATAGTGTATTATCGACATAATTTTCAAATTAATATACATACCATTTATAAATCGTTATATTATACATTACATAAAACCAATAAATATTCAAAAAAAAAAAAAATTGAAAATATTTCCTATACATATTTTATGGTCTAATTATTTAAATTTGAAAATTAAAATGTTTTAATTAATTTTGAAGTACTAATTAGTATAAATACTTTCCTCTTTTAAATTTTATTAGCGGGAAATTATTTTCATTTTTATGTTTTTTAAACTGTAATCTATACTTAATTAACTTGTTTATTTACACCGTTTGTAAAATTATAATCGGATTAGAAACTTTTATATATACATATATATACAGCAAACGAAATGAAAAACATTTTAATATGTACACTCTGTCTCTTCCAGCCGTTTTACTGTGCGATACGAGATAAAGGGGTGAAATTTTTATTTTACACAAAAAACTTGTTATTTCTCCTAGGTATTTCCGTTAAAAAAAAAAAGAGGGAAACATCGATTCGTTCCCGTTCTGGCGTTTTTCTTTTCTGTTGTTTTTTTTTATTTTTTTTTTTTTTTGTAAAATATTTTTCTTTCGTGAACGAGTTCCGAGAGGCAAAATCAGTGGCACGGAACGATAATTTTTATTCAATTCGCCCCCATTGGTGTAACGTCGCTATTAATGATCGGCATATTCCTCGCAAACTTGCTCGATCGCGCATGAACATTCAGCACGTTCGAAACGTTTAATTTCCGGTTGAGAATCTAAGTGCCAACCAAAAGGTGTAGGGGAGGGGGAGTAAACATTTGCACTTGATTAAACTTACAACGAAATATATATAGATTTCTTCTATTTTATATATGGTGCATCCATTAAAATTATAATTAACAGTAATATTAATTAGTATTTTTAATTTATTACAGATATTAATTATTAATATAATAATAATAATAATAATAATAATAATAATAATAATAATAATTTTTATGTATATAATAATATACATTACTGTAAATTTTACTATTAAGAAAATTGCTAACATTCAGTGGTAGAAAATAACTTTTGTCGGACAAAGTTTATCTGACATAATCAAGTATCTACTACTTCGAATTAATGAATTTGTTTCTTCTATATATATATATAAATTTAATTATAATTTATAAATGTTATATGATATTTAATGTTACAAAGTATGTCCGACTAAATAAATATTTCACCACTGAAAATTACAAATGTTAGTAGATAGTAAATTTTAACTTTGTTAAACAAACTGTGTTTTAGTTAGCCTTTATATATAACAGACTCTCTTTGTAATATATATAATGTCAAAAAAATTTCGTAAATTTAGTTATTAAATTTTATGTATTTTGTTTTAGTTCTACTGTGCACAAACTCTATATATA